CAGAATGCATTTTATCAATGAACACATTTTACTTTCTTTCTTAATATATTTCAGTAAGAATATAGTACAGAGTGTTTTAATATATATATGGTATGAACTAAAATAGTATAAAGTATTAAAATAAAAAAAAATGTCTAAACCATTTGATTGACCAGAGTTTAATACTGTAATAGTGACAGTGACAACGTGGATATCTGCTGAGCAAGTGTACTGTTTTGTAATTATTTTCAGTTCCCTTTAGGCTAATATAATCTATCGTCTGGGAAGCATAAATACTCTGCTAATTTGTATCCGTGCTTGAGGCGCTGTGATTTATTCCATGAATTCCCCCAATGCTAATTATTCATCAACATCGCTTGGGCTCTGCAGATCTTGTATTACACAGTTCAGTGTCTAGCAGTGTCTAGTACCGTAAAATCTGTATTAGAAGCTGCATCCCTAATAGAAGTCGCACCCATTCTTTTTGAATAATTGAGAGCTAAAAATTCATCATTTCTCATATGTGCAGGTGCTCTAATAGAAGCTTTGATATTACATATATAGGTACTACATGTGGACCTCTCTCAGATTTGTTCATTTTGTAATGATATCTTCAATTCTCTAATTTTGGTGAATATTTTTGTCATTTTTGGTAAAAAGTGATATTTTCAACTTCTTGTTAAAAACTGCAAGTCCAATTGCTTTGATATTACATATATAGGTACTACATGTGGACCTCTCAGATTTGTTCATTTTGTAATGATATCTTCAATTCTCTAATTTTGGTGAATATTTTTGTCATTTTTGGTAAAAAGTGATGTTTTTGACTTCTTGTTAAAAACCACAAGTCCAATTGCTTTGATATTACATATATAGGTACTACATGTGGACCACTCTCAAATTTGTTCATTTCATGATGATATCTTCAATTCTCTAATTTTGATGAATATTTTTGTCATTTTTGGTAGAAAGTGATATTTTCAATTTCTTGTTAAAAATCGCAAGTCCAATTGCTTTGATATTATTATATAGGTACTACATGTGGACCACTCTCAAATTTGTTCATTTTTATGATGATATCTTCAATTCTTCAATTTTGATGAATATTTTTGTCATTTTTGGTGAAAAGTGATATTTTTGAATTTTTGTTGAAAACAGCAAGTCCCATTGCATTGATACTATGCATATTGTTCATTTTCTAATAATATCTTCTGTTCTTTACGGAGCTATCTCAGCCGAGAGGCTGCTTGTTTTCATTTGTTTGTGTGATGTAAATAAATAAATTAGGAATGAGTAAATAAATAAACAAAGAATGTGTAAATAAATAAACCAAAAATTTGTAAATAAATAAACAAAGAATGAGTAAATAAATAAATAAAGAATGAGTGAATAAATAAACCAAGAATGAGTAAGTAAATAAATAAACAATTAATGAGTAGATAAACAAACAATGAGTAAATAAACAAATTAATAAATGGCTGTCCTTTATTTCTCGGTGAGAATCATATACAGGAAATATTCGTTTTCAAACTCATCTGTTCTGTTTATAAAAAAGAAAACAATAAAACAAAAACTAAGTAAAAACTGAAAATTGTCTCAAATTTTGTCTGTTGGCTTCAAAATTAGGGTTCATCTCCAGAAAAAAGTGCAGAAAAATTTGGGCAAGAAAGTCCGGTGGTGAAACGGTTAAATAAAATACACTTAAAACACGTACTGCTTCGGTAACCAAATTATTAACAACTGAATAACCAGATAATAAATTACTAATTCATTAACTACAGTGCCGTCATAAATTTATATGCATAAATAATTTCAGACAAATTTCCAGGATTGAGGCCCAGTCAGTAGAGACAAGGTTGCTATGAGTGATTTATGGCAATGACTGTGAACAATCTGTTCTGGTAATTGGTGTGTCATTCCTGAGGGATCTAAACGGCCATGTGATGGAGACATTTCTATAGTACGTTATTCATTGACATGTGTAAGGACTATCTAGGACCATAGGGTTATATTAATCATTACGCCGGTAGGATGCGTGCCTTATGACGACACAGCAAATGGAAATAGCTCAAACACTA